GTTTTTTTGATAAAAAGACGCAATTTTTCGCCCCCACCGATAGGGGGCGCTTTAGTAAAAATAACGCTGTTATTTAAAAAATAATGCGCAGAAGTAAGTTTACATATTACTTTTCTGTTACCAAAAAAATTATCAAAAAGTGAGTTTTTGTCAATTTGGGTGGGAAAGTAAGAGCTACCTTAATTTGGAAAGTAACGTCAAAATTTTCGGACGTTGGGGCGCAATTTTGGGGGCCTTTTTATTCGTAAAAAAACTTAAAAAAAAATATCCGGCGCCAGGAGCGAAACAGGTGTTGCTAGGGAAAACAATTTAGCCGTTAGAAACTTACAACTTTTAAGAAAACTCGGATAAATAAATATTAAGTAAAATTTTATTAAAAAATTTCGAAGCTTAATTTAAAACAGAAAAAATCAATTGTCTAAAAATTTTCCGAACAACCTCGTATGTTCAAATAGCAAAATCAATGACCCCGGGCGGGCCCCGTTTTGCCCCAAGGGCTATAATTTGAACAATCTTGGTAAGGTCTACCAGATGATTTATGAAAAATATCTAAGCTCGAGCCTTTGGGTTTTTACAAGAAGGTTTTAAATTTTTATATTATGTACATATGAATCAATGACCCCGGGGCGGGGCCAATTTGCCCCGGGGCTATAATTTGAAAAAATCTTTTTAAGGGGGTTCCCAGAAAAATGCCTTATGAAAAAATACAAAGCTGGGCCTTTTGGGTTTTACAAAAAAGTTTTTTAATTTTTATTTTTAATTCCTTTTGGTTGCCATGGCAACCAATTTTCTGAGGAAAAAATTCTTTGAAAAATTAAAAGCCCTTCCCCCAAGGAAAACCCCTGCCAATTTGGTTGAAAAGGACTGTAGTTTTCACAAGAAGATTTTTTTAAGGGCAATCCAAGGTCTTTTTCAATGCACAAAGATAAATTTTATCAAAGATGTTGTATTAAGTTTTAAGGGTCTAGCCTTAAATGAAGATTTTTCTGCCAAGGTAAAATTGTTGAAGATGACAAACAGATGCCTGGGACAAAACCCCTGCCTAATACATAAAACTTCAATCCCCCCATTCAAAGTTAAAATGAAAACATCTTTCTCATTACATGTAATTACTAAAATATTTAAGAAATTTTAATTTTCCCTTTCCAGAAAAATGCCCTTTTGCCTGTTTATTTTCTGAACCATGACAATTTTTTAACTGGTCCTGAGGAGATTTTCAGTTCCCGCCCTCTATGAACCTGTGACGAGATTCAATTTTTTGTCTTTATACTCACGCCCCAAATAAATTTTTTACACTGGGATGATCAGCCTGACATGAAAAAAAAGATTTTTTCTTAAAAAAACAAAAAATACATTTCATTCCAGAGGGGAAGAAAAATTTGGCCAAAATGTTAAGATATTTACTTGCATCCTAGAGAAATATTAAAAAAAGAGTAAAAAAACCCAATGAACATTTTGTTTGATTTATGGTGAACAAAGTGTTTCGAGTGAAGTATATTTTATAAATTTGTTTTATACCAACCCAGTTTCACAATAAGTGCTGAAGTCTAGCAAGGATAATTGGTAGATGTGCCACAAAATTCCACACCTACAAACCAATCATCATTACTAAAGACTTTATAAAGAAAATTCAAAAAAGATACCTCTTTCAAGAAAAATTTTTTGGCTCTTCGTCAAAGCGTACAATTCTTTAAGCACATCACCTCTCCGTAAGTCTATGTGGATTTACAGCCTGCCCAAAAAAAACCTTTTTCCCCGGATAGGGCCCGGAACAAAATCACTGGTGCGGAAAACACGATGTGTCTCTGGCATAGTGCGGAATGACTGAGCTCGGCTGAGGTCTACACTTTTTTGACGGGAAGCTGGCATGGGTGATGGAGACTTACTTCTTCTTCTAACATGACTTCTCCTTTAAAAAAAAAATATTTACACATTAAGGTACTTTAAAAACAAACATCTATTACTTAAAATGGCATTAAGGTAACAAACATCTACATCTATTACTTAAAAGGTATTACTTTCAAATTCAGAATCAAAGTATTTTCTTCCACGCAGTAAGCAAATCTTCTTTCAGAGAAAATTTCATACCTTTTTTTTTCAATCGCACCTTTTCTTGATTTTTTTTTTTAAACATAAAATATTAATTTTGTACATTAAATTGTTAATAAAAACCATGAAAATAAACTGTCAACTTCCAAGAGCAACACAATACGTACCTATGGCTACTTCCATTATCCTTTGGCCTCAGGAGAACTTTTGTTTCCTTCCACTTGAACCGCATCAGGTGACGAAACTGACACTCTTCTCCGTGTCCGATTCGGTGTCAGAATGTTACTGGAGAACTTTGTTGTACAGGTAACGGTGAGGGATCTCGTTCAACCATAAGGTGTAAGCTTCATTGGGTTTTCCAGCGACTGATTTAATTTCTTGAATATATTGATCTTTAACACTAAGGCCATTCACTTCAATGATTTGATCACCAATGCTTAAATCCAAGAGTTCCGGATTGCTATCAATCCTGTTTAAAGAAAAGAAAGATATAAATATATATGATATAACATTTCTTTTCACCTTTTATCACACATAAATTTTTTTTGTGCAGAGACATAACATTTTCACCATTAATTTGATACACCCCTAAGTAGCTTTCTTTTCCTTACAAATTTCTACTAATCATATCACTTTCAGGTGTAAATTGCATAATAATAACTGTTTATTTGTCAGAGAAATTTCCAAGAATTTCTAAAAAAAAAAATTTGCCAACAAAAATTCTAAGAATTACTAAATACTTCGTCAGAGAAATTTCTAGGAACTATTAGATTTTTTTTATCACAAAAAAATTCTTATAATTACTGGATTTTTTTTTAAGAAACTATGAATGTTTTTTTTAACAATACAAGTATATCCTTTATTTTTTATTTATGAAAACATTAGGTATATCCATTGCATAGAAGACAAAATGCGTAAATCTAAATATCGTCTAAGAAAAATTGTTTTTTCTTTATTTCTACCATACATCACTTTTGGCAAGATATTACATTTAACCAGAAATCAAATAATCTCAAATAAGTAACTGAAATGCTTTGAACTTTATTTAGTTACAAAGATAATTTTCTTAGATTTTGTAAAATTCCTTGGTTTCCTAAAAAAACTTACTTTGAAATCTTTATTTGCGGAGAATTAATTCTGTTAGCAGACTGTCTTGTGTAAAGCGTGTTCTTCTTTTCAATGTTAAAATGGAGGCCGCGAGGTCTGTCTGGGGTAGGCTGAACCTCTATCATTTGTATGGAATGTGGTTTCCGACGGCGTCGAGGAGTCTCGGCTAGAACAGGTTTCATCTGTTGATTGTAACACATCCCACTGGAAAAATTATACTTTAGGTTATTTCATTATCTAATTCCATTAGGAATATTATAGTTCCTGGGTTATAATATGAGTAGATGTCAACGTTCTATCCAATTATTTATCCAATTTGTGAGAGATATGCGATACATGATGCATAAAATCCAATGTCTAGTCCAAACAACGAACATGTGATAGAATGTAATTAATTTGTTTAATCTTGCATCACATCAACATTGTTAAAGTCATAAGATGATAATCCAGTAATACTGATGGCAGAAAAACCTTGCATTTTTCCACTTTGCATTATTTTTGGCAGACAATTCTGAATTTAACAACAAACCTTCTGCAAGCTAGCTGGATATTTAGTTTTCTCACACAAATTAAGAGAATACAATGTATAGGGAAGTTTAAAAGTCATGTTTTTGGCCAAAAAAAATCTAGAGCAATGGGAAATAAAACTTATCTCAAAACACAACATTTTACAAATTAAATCCAACTTAAATATTGCTCTATCTGGAAGTAAAAGTTAAGTACCACAATAGCATACACTTCAAACAAGGAACAATAAAACAAAAAAAATTACTTCACCCTTTAAGATGAGTTTAAAAAGATTCAAAATATTTAAAACATTTTAAAGTGCATTAAAGGCATACCAAGCCTCAGAAATGAATAAATATAAAGGCATACCAAGCCTCAATAATGAATAAATATGATAAATATGAAAAAGATTAAGGCACATTTGTGTTTAATAATACTTCAACAATGGATTATTTAAAGAGTGTTAGACACTTATCACAAGGAGAAAGCAACAATGAATAAGAAATACTTGAATGTGAAATACGAAACAAAAACAAGGCGTGATACTTTGTCTTTCACACAAATACTAAATTACTACAACTTTACTAATTATAAAACAGCAAATACAGTTCCTATAAAATCCAGTGAATACCATTATCAGGAAACTGTAATGAATCACCAGAAAGAAACAAGCTTTCTGAGCAATAAAAATAATCAGAATAGTTTTGTGGGCATACTGAAGCCTTTAAAGAAATGTTTCAACATTCACAATTCATAAAAATCTTCATTGTTTTTGTTTTCTTTTCTGCAGCCGTGACCTGGCGCAACACAAAATTCGTATTTTGCATTATGAAATCCCTTAAAACGTGGAATGGGAACGTTCCAATTATTCCAAAGCAGTGGCAAATCAATTAAGAGCACTATACAGCAGTAAGGGGTAAATATAGACTATAGATAATTGTTGACATGATACCTCACCCACTTACGTTATACTGACACAAGGCTGACCAATCCTAGAAGCAACCTCTTAACCTTTACTCTGCTGGATACAAATTTTATTGCCACCTGTATAATTCCAGTCAAGTCTGCACACCCATGCAGTCTGACTAGGCTCTATATTGTTGAAAGACTATAAACTTTCGTCTTAAAATCATCACGTTTAAGGGATCATGCCAAGATTTACCAAGTTATATAATATAGTACCATAATTATAATTTTTCATATACATGTATATTTGGTACTTGGTTATGGTATGACCCAGTCTGGGATCAAACCCTTGACTTCACCACATCTGAGACAAAAAAGCTACCATCAGGCCATTTCTTCCTAAACAATTTTTAAACATCATTATTATCACCTTAAAACTTATCCTGTGTTGATTGTTTGTTCCACTTTTATTAATTTTCTTAGAAATTTATATACAGTAATTAATTACCAGAATAATTTTGATCTTTCCACGAGGGCATAATTCTCCCCGTCTCCAATATATGTATGACACATGACACACTGAAAACATTCCGGGTGATACTTGTGCTCCCCAGCAACCTGAAATAAATTATATAATGTAATATAACTAATAATTGGTAAATATGCTTTACAATTTGTTTTTTTATGGACGTAAAATGGTAAGCTGATATAATGTCGACCCTTCTTTGGATGCATTATCCCATGTGGGAATTCTGCTATTAACACCACTGCCTGGTATTTTCATATATCATCATTATCTTTCAGACCACATAACACTTTTTACATAACACAGTAATATTTTCTCAAATAACAGCAGACCAAATTGCCTTTTTTTCATTATGTGACATCTGTCAATGATAAATCATTAAAACATCTATAATTACCATATGGCTTCTGACCAGACACCTTTACTCATGAAAACTTGACACATGATACAAAACAGATAGAGAATTTGAGACGTGCTAACAACTCAATACTATATAACAATAAGTGAACTACTCCTCCAAACAAACCCACTGATTCCTGCAACATCATGTTACCATCTATATATGTATGTGGCAAAAGTGTGTATCCAATTCTTGAAAACAACAAACTGTATTACTTTGACTTAATACTGGTCCAGTGAATAATTTCTGTACACCCATTACACTGAGGCTTAAGGTAAAACTTGGACTACCATTTTACTTTGGCCCTGTAATAATTTCTGTTACACTTATTTTACATTGAATACCTAAAATAAATTTGACCTTTACCATTAACAGGCACTCTGATAAATTTCTGTAACCACATTTTGAAACCTAAGTAAATTGAATTACCAAATTAAATAGATCGGTAAATTTTTGTACATCCCCTTACTTGGGTTGAAAAATAAAATTATTGGGCCTGTGATAATTTTTGTACACCCATTACTTGAATCTAATAAAACCCTTACTTACCATTACTGGGCCTATATAATTTTTTTACAAATCATGAAAATTTAAAAATAAGTAAACTTGACTAAAACCCCTTTTCTGGGGCCTGTTGGGTTTTTTTACACTCATTACAAATTTAAAACCTAAGTTTTTCTTGACTTACAATTACTGGAACTGTGATAATTTCTGTACACCCATTTAAAAATTTAAACTGAGTAAATTACTCTACCTTTAAAGGGCCCCGGTTTATTTAATTTTTTTGTACATTTCCATTAAAAAACCTTCCCCCCCAAGAGGAACCCAAGTAGTCCCCGTTAACAGAAACAACTGAAGCCCTGGTTTTCAAAGTCCCCCTTGAAGAAAACCCTTTTCCCAACCCATTTTAGAAAAAACCTTGGGGGAAACCCCAATTTTAAAAATTAAAAGGAAAATAAAAAATTCTTGTTATTGTTTTTCCCAAGATTGTAGAATTCCCTGGGGTTTAAAATGGAAAAATTTTGTCAATTTGGTTTTAAATAGAAAAAATTTTTACCCGGGGCAATTTTTGGGTTTTGTGCCCTTTGGTCCTGGATAACCTGATTATGGGGCAATGTCCCTGGGGAGAAGGGAAAAACCCATGCCTCCATGGGGCAAAAGTTTTTTCATCCATGGGCAATGTCCCTTCTCCCCTACGGGGGAAAAAAATCCATTTCTACATGTAAAGTTGCCCAAAATTTTGGATGTTTTTAAAAAAACACTTTTTTACCTGACACACTCAGGTTTTCCATTTAAGCATAAAAGGCACTTGTTTTTTTGGGTTAAGTCTTACATAACCTTTAATTCCCTTTTTGGGGAATGGTTGTGAATTTGCCTTTTGGGCCCTTAAAATAAACCCCGGGCCCCTAAAATCCCCACATATCACCAAGCTCTAAACTGTTGGTTTTCTCAAAATTTTGGTAAATTTTTGGGAAAATTGGGAAAAAATTTTTACTTTGAATGGAAATTTCCAAATTTAAAAAAATGGACAATCCATTACACAAACAACAGGGTTTGGTTTCTAGATATATAAAGACCCCAGAGACAAATTTAAAAAGCATTTTTTTGGGAAAAAACTCCAAAAATTCACTTTAAAAATATATTCAATACCCTGCTTTCTGCATAACAAATTTTGGG